GCATTTTGCTACTGGAAGTGTTCGCTTGAGACTCGCTGCGCCTTTGCCTAGCGAGTGCTTCGCTACCTTTCCTCGCTGCATCTTCGCCTAGCGAGTTTGCTGTTTGTTTGCTTGTTTTCTTGGTTCCTTTGCCCATTTCTTATGTCTTACTTTTCCATTTGTTTTGTGCCTGATTCCTGCACAATAGCATACAAATCAAAGGTACCAAGATATTTTCACTCTATATTGCAAACCAAACAAAACCAGAGTGGTTTTCAACACTTATATGACAAAAATGAGTGAAAGATGCCAATATATGATAGATCAAATAAGTGAAATTTGACATCTAACAGTTGCCAAGTGTCTTCATTTGACAACTTGCTACAATAAGCCTCCTACTTACAACCAACTTTACATCTAACCCTTACCCTAACTCAGTCATTTAATATAAACCTTAGGTCTCTACCATTTTGCACAACATAAGATGTTATTGCTTCCCTAAAATCACCCTTTGAACTAAAATACATTCCCACATCCCACTTGTAATCTGACATGTCTTTTGCCTGTCTGAAAATTAGATGTTTTTTTCTTAGAACTCCATTACTATCATCACCGTCACAACCACTTTGCATGTACTCAATGTCATTGTCACTCCCTTTATCTTCTAAAGACTTATCATTAAATTCTTGGACTTCTCCATTACCATAATTTTCACGACCAATTAGGGTATCAAGTTCATCCTCTTCAATCTCATCATACCCATCAGACTCATCCTCAAAAGCCACTTCTTGTGCACTATCATAATTGTAGTTCTCATCTTCACTATCATCAGAAGATAAACTTAAGTCATCATCCACTGCAAGTTTACCTTTTTCAACTCCAACATTACATTCTTCCCCTGCAGGTTTACCTTGTTCAGCTCCAACATTAATTTCCTCAACTCCAACAGTATGTTCATCCACTGCAGGATTCACTTGATCAATTCCAACATTACCTTCCTCCAACCCAGCAGTGGCTTGATCAACTCTAACATCACCTTCCTCCATCACAACAATGGTTTGTTCAACTCCCACAACTTCATCATGCAGTTGACTAAGTAACTCCTCCACCTCATCTACAATTTCAGCAGGACCCTCATCAACTTCATCAACAACAACATCACAGTAGTCAGGTTGAGACAAGGTGTGTTGAATATAAACATCAACATTTTGGTGCATCCTATAAAGATCTGCAATTTCTAAAGCACTATTGTCATCAATAAGTGCATTCATCCCAAATTGAGGGTCCTTGTAATATATTGTTCCAAACTCCCTATAACTCAAGTTTTTCAATACACCAACTAGCTCAAAATAAATCCATTTGTCTACATCTACTCTCAAAATATCTACTACTCCATTCTCATATACACTACGACCTTCATCGGTGAACTCACCACTATGATGAATTTTGAGAGTTATGTATTCATCCATGATACCTAATCATATTACCTAAATAATTAGAGTTTACACTAAATTTTTTACATAAACCCTAAATCTGAACCTCTAGCAGATATTGCCCTATGAGATTCGTAAACCCCAAATCAGAGAGAAATGAACTAGCCTTTTGATATGTCTCTTTGAATCGTCTTCAATCCTTCGCCCTTAATCCTTCGCGTCTTGAACAATCTTTGAATCGTCTTTAATGCTTCGCTGAGTTTACCCCTAACATCAATCCTCTTATCTTCTGAGTAATGGAAAGCCAATTCAAAGGGGACTTGTTTTAAGACATTTTATATCCACGTCAACAACATCAAGTCCACCTGGACAAACATGACAATTGTTTTGAAACTTTGACTAACGACAACAGACGGAAGGATAAACGTGACACCATTTTAAAAGTTAGAGGACCAACTTGCCACTTTTTAAAGTTAAGGGACTAAACTGGACCCCGAGTTAAAGTTAAGGGACGAAAAATATTATTTTGCCAATATTTATAATATACATAAATAATGTTAATTAAAATATTTAATATTTAATATAAATTAAACTAAACTAAACTAAACTAAACTAAACTAAGATATTTATAATATACATAATTAATATTTAATATTTAATACTTTCAGTTTATTTATTTAATATTTAATATAAACTAAATTAAATTTTATATAAACTAAATGTTTTAATAAACTAAATGTTTTAATAAACTAAATTTTATATTCAGTTTATTTATTTAATATTTAATATTTAATATAAATTATATTAAATTTTGTTTAATTACAGCATTTCAAATGTTTTAATAAACCAAATTTTATTTTAATATTTTATTTATAAATTAATATTAACATTTTCAGAAACTAAATTAAATTAATATTAACATTTGAAATAAACTAATATTAATACAAACTAAATTAAACTAAACTAATGTTTTTTTTAACATTTTAACTAAATTATTATTAATTAAAAACTAAACTAAATTAATATTAACATATGAACTAAACTATAATAAATTAATATTAACGTATTGTGATGAAATAAAATGAAATAATTAATATATTAAAATGAAATAATTAACATATTATAAAATTTTAATATTAATATTATAATATGTTAATAATATATTTAAATAAATATTTTATTTACTTATTTCATTGAATTTCATTTTGATGTTTTTTATATTTATAATTAATAAATTTGTTTATTTTTTGAATATTAAATGTTAATATAAATATTTAGTTTAAAATAATTTAGTTTATTATTTATACAAACGTTATTATATATTATTATATTTATATTTAATAATTTAGTTAAAAATATAATAAATATTAAATACTAATTAATAAAAATTTTAATTAATATTAATTACTTAACATTATAATACTAATTAGTAAAAAAATTATTTTTTAATTGTTTAACATTTTTAACATATTTTAACATTTTTGGAAGAATTTATTTTAAATATTTCAAATATGTTTTAATTATATGTTAATATTAATTATATAAATATTAATTAAATATTTTTAAATATATTTTAATATTATTTAACATTTAACGTTATAAATTTTTTTCATTAAGATATTTTCATTAATTTTTATGTTATAAATATATAATTTAAATTGAAACACACAAATAAATATATTACATATTACATGTAACATATTTATTACATATCGTAATATATATATTTGAAGTAAAGTAATTGAGAAGAAAGAAATGCTAGATTAATGGAAGAGATACCTCCCTGTAAACAAAATGTTATCGGTTCAATAATAATAAAATGGTCACATATAATTAAAATAAAAAGAAAATAAATATAAAAATTCAATAAAATTGACACATCATATTAAAAAAATAAAAAAATTAAATGAAGCATCATCACGTCACAGATTCAATTGAATGTGTCTACTGAAAAATGAAAAAAAGAAAAATTAAATGACGGACATGAAATTTATATTTTCTTTACTGAGTTCTTTTTCGAATTTGTCCTACGGAGTTAAAATATATATTAATCCTAAAAATAAATTTTAGATATACAAAATTCATTGAGAACGATGGACCCCGTTCCAAAAGTAAGCTTTGAATTGTTTTCAACACACGTATCTTTATTTCGAACCGTGAAAAAGAAATACTCAATACTCAGCCGTCAATAGAACACGTCATTGATGGAGCTTGAAAATAAACTCAATTGAAAATAGTACATGCATGTATGTAATGTGAAACAAAACAATTAAAATACGTAGGAGTATTTCTTTTATGAAAAAAAAAGTAAATATTCTTTTAGGAAAAGTTCATTTTAGTCTTTTAAAGAAATGGTGAGATCCAACTTAATTCTTTAAAAAGAATAAAAAATAATTTTTAATTAATTAGTAGAGAGTTTCATTTCAGATGATCCGGAATATTTTTTATTTTATAAGTTTAATTATAATTTTGATCACTTTATTTTTTACTTTTTGAGTTTTAATTTTTTATTTTAAAATTCGAAATTTTGCTCTTTTATTTTATTTTATTTTTTTAAAACTTTTGAGCCTCTATTTTAAAATTTAAAATTTTAGTCCCATTTTTTAATACTTTTGGTTTTTTATTTTAAATTTTGTTTTGAATTTTAATTTCTTTTTTAATTTTGAACTAATTCAATATAGGGACCAAACATTTTAAAAAATAAAAAAAGAATCGAAATTTTAGATTTTAAAATAGGAGGATTGAAACTAAAAAAAAAGAAAAATTTTAAATTTTAAATAGAAGAAAAAAAAACAAGAAGACTAAATTTAAAATTAAATCTACTTTATAAATTAAATCTGTTAGAATGACCTATATCTAAATCATAATTTTAAAATGGTTTGAAAATTCTATTTAATATTTATTGGATTATTTATTATCAAAATTTTGATATTAAATCAGTCCTCATTTATATTTATTCATCAAATTTAATAAAATTGAGTGAAAAATACCGTATATTAAAAATCTCCCATCAAACGTTTAAACATATATTTGTAAATGGGAACAATTTTGATCATACAAATTAATTTCATAGACATAAGTTAACCAATAAATCTAAGATATTATTTTTTTCCATTTTTTACATGTGACAAAATATGGATTATCCATCATTACATTGAAAAACAAATATGGATGAAAGAAGGTTAAAGAAAAAAAAATGATTAAGGACAACTTTTAGTCTATTTATAAAGTTACTTAATTTAAAAGTTTCTTATTTTATTTTTATTTTTATAATTTGTAATTTTAATTGACTATAATAAAATTCAGATTGTTTTCTATTTTCTATTTTTATTTTTTTCTTTAATTTATTAGTTTTTAATAAAGACATTTATCTTATTTGAAAAAAAAAAAGTAAAAATCCTAAAAGGAATAAACATTAATAGTAAATAAACATGTGGTGTGATTAAGAGATTAATACAGTCTGTCTTGCCTTGTTCGGTATTGGATGGTGCTGCCTGCCGCTTTGGCTTCGCCTTTGGTTCTCCCTCCCCCACTTCCTCACTCTCTCACTCGTTCTTTTTCACTCGCACGTTCTCAAATCTCGCTCTCATGGCTTCCACTTTCGAATCTTGTTGGCAGGTTCTCTCTCTATCGTTCCATTTCCTTTATTTCTTTCACCTTTCTACAGTCACTAGCTTTTTTATTTTGCGTTTTTTTTCCCACAAATTTATTATTTTTTTCTTTCTCCGTGTTTTCTTTTATATGTTTTGGATTTTAGGGTTTCGTGGTGTTTTTGTTAGATTTCAGCGGTTATTGTTATTATATTTTTGTTTCTTTGGTAGTCTTGACCAGAGGTTTGCTGTTGGAATTTGGATTTGATGATTGGAACTATGCATTGTGTTTTCTATGAGTGTTTTGATGATGCCGTGTGAAATGTTGGGTTCTTGCACTATTTGGAAGTTGAATTGGTTTTAATGTGATATCAACTTGATTCTTGTAGATCACTGTTAGTGATGATAGTTTTTCTAATCAAATCTTGGGATTTCTCTTTTTCACTTTTTTGTTGCGTGATCCATTTGTTATTGAAATTGTGAATATTGGAAGTTGAAACTCTGATGGAAATAGGTTAACAATTATTGAAATATTTGTCGACAAGTGTCGTCAGTGGTTTTGTTTAACATGTTTGTGGAAATTTGATTTTCAGATTCTTGTTAGTATTGTGTAGTTAATTGCCGTAACATACGAAGATTGCATGTTAATACTTGTCCTATTTTTGCAAAAACGGAATTGATGATTGTTTGCTGCTTTTAACTATTTTGAGAAATGGAATTCTCTCTAATTCTTTTTTTTTTCTTCTTTTATTGGTGCTGCAGTACTTGATCACAAATTTCAGCGACTTTCAACTGGCATGTTTGGGAAGTTTCTTTCTGCATGAAAGTGTTTTCTTCTTATCTGGACTTCCTTTTGTATGGATCGAGAGGGCAGGTTGGTTGAGCAAGTACAAGATTCAGGTATGCAGTTGATGAAATTCGCTGTTTATCTTTATGTTGTAGGTTCATCTTTTTGTTCACCTTGATATGAATTTAATCTCTCGTTGTATTGTGAAGTACATCATTCATAACTAAACCGCTTTAACAGTGTTCGCTTTGGCATAATATACATATTCCATAACAAATGTATTGTACTTCATTTCAGTTATTCTCTTTACCTTGCTTTCCATGGTGCTAAGAACAATGCTATCCGTTCCAAGTGAAAGTTCCTTGAGATTTCCCTTGTCAATTTTATATTTCTTAATTGTATGCATTACATAACATAGGCGATGATAGATGAATGTTTTAAAAATGCCTTTTGGTGTTGATTCTCAACCTTTTAGGTGGACTAAAACACAATATTTCTCTCCAAATGTAGGTAACGAACATTTTAGTTTGAGCACACATCACGTGGTGTGGCTGCAATACTGTAGTTGCAACAGATCCTCAACACTGCATCACAATGCATGTTGTCGCAGTTTAACTTGAATAACTAATTGTCGGTGTTCAATTTTTTTTCCTTCTTGCTGAGGCTTGTGCGTGCTATATTTGATTAACTTATTAACTGAATTCCTCCTATACCGGCATAAAATTTTAATTTTTTTCCACTTTCACTTGTTAATACATGGTTGTCCTCTTCCAAAGAGAAAGCAAAAATTATTTTCTACCGGTCTTGGCATGCAATTAAAACTCTGTTATTCCATTGTATGGCTATTATTGGCAGTCATCTTGCGATCTATATGTAAATCTGCTGGTGTTGCTAATGCTTCCTTTCATCTAGGCGAAAAATAATACCCCTGCAGCTCAGGATAAATGTATTGTTCGCTTGCTGATTTATCATTTTGGTGTCAATCTACCTGTTATGATTTTTTCGTATCCCGTCTTCAAATACATGGGCATGCGGAGTAGTCTTCCCCTACCGTCCTGGTACTTTCATCTTCTTTTAAGTCCCTTGTTAGATGCTTTTCCTTTTTATATTTGGAATGTGTTTCTGTGAAGATTACTTAACAAGATGAAATTGTTTTGCAGGAATGTGATTCTAACTCAAATAATATTTTACTTCATTTTGGAGGACTTCATATTCTACTGGGGACACAGGATATTGCACACAAAATGGTTATACAAACATGTCCACAGTGTACATCACGAGTGAGTGTTACGAGTGCTCTGCAGTTTTGGCTTGTTATATTGATCGTCTATGAACTACTAAAGGGTTTTGCTGTATGTGAAGGTTTGCAACACCATTTGGACTTACTTCGGAATATGCTCATCCGGCTGAAATACTTTTCCTTGGGTTTGCAACCATTGTTGGTCCTGCCATCACTGGACCTCACTTGATTACTTTGTGGTTATGGATGGTTCTGAGAGTCCTAGAGACGGTTGAGGCACATTGCGGTTACCATTTTCCGTGGAGTCTCTCAAACTTCATTCCATTATATGGGGGGTGAGTGTGATGTTCCTCCACCTTCACTTAATATCGGCTTGTTGATTCATTCTGCTGTTGTCGTTCTTGACGTTAAACTTTGTATCCTTACTTTTCAGAGCTGATTTTCACGATTATCATCACCGTTTATTGTACACCAAGTCCGGAAACTATTCATCAACTTTCACTTACATGGACCGGTAAGTATCAAACATATTATCCTTTAAAGATAACTTATTATTATTATTATTAGTATTATTATTATTATTATTATTATTATTATTTAGAGGTAACTGTCATTTTAGTCTATGAATATATCAAACGCTGTCACTGTAGTTCTTGAATGCATGGAAATGCTGTCACTGGAGTTCTTGAATGCATAGAAATTACAAATGCATCCTCAAATGTGTCTTTCATTAGTGAGTTTGGTCTTCAAATGTGTCTTCTGTTAGTTACTTAGTTTGATTGTTGATTTTCTCTTCTGTTGGTTAGTCTAGTCCATGAAGTTACTAACAGAAAACACACTAAGGGATGTTTTTGTAATTTCAATATACTCTGCGACTATAGAGACACCGCCTCACACATTTAGGATTAGGAACTTAAATGACTATTTACTCCATTTTGTATGATGGCTTAACTGTTTTTTTTCTATACTGTCAAGGGTACATGATTTCTTTCTTTACTATGTATTAGGATATTTGGAAGTGATGTAGGTTACAGAAAGTTAAAAGCATTGAAGAACTCAGGGTTTGAAGACAGTTATGAGCAAAAGCAACAATAAAAATAAATTTTTGGGAACATGTAGAATGGTTAGAAAGTTGATTCCAATCCCAACTCGAGAGTACATTTGAAAATTGTCTTTCCTATCAACCCCATTGTAGTTTGTGTTTTTTTTTGTTGACAAAGTGAGTGTTGATGGTTTTTTATCGACATTGATGTTTGTTATTCAGAATGCTTTTAGCTACGCAGCTTTCAAAATTGTAATACCTCTTCATGTAATGACTGTTATTTGTTTGATATAAATCCAATTGATATTACAATTTGGATAAACGAACGGACTTATTTCTTGCACGTGTTTGCCTTTATATGATTATTATTCATACGTCTTTACTGATACGATGGCATTAATTTACAATGATGAAATTTTGCAGATGTTCTGTATTCATTAAAATTGATAACCAGAATGTATAAATGAAATAATAAATACTATTTATATATTGAAAGGAATCTCACAAGTTTTCATGGAATCAGAATCCAGACCCTGTGAATCAAAACTTTTCCTTTGGAAATATTTTATCAAACCTTGTTTTTCTTCCCTATATGAGAAGGACAGGCTTGATAGTGAATGACAGCCTCTCAAAGATACTAGATGACAACTTTTCTAGGAAATGACAATAGTCTAATTTGAAGACTTGTAAATTGTAAAGTTTGCAAAGGGATTATCTTAATTATTTTTTTATGACCAATTGAAGTAGACAAATTGTGTAGTCTATTTGTGAAGAATGATATTTTAATATTTGAGGTGAAAGTTGGCCAACCTCAAAGGTCTTCAAATGATTTAACATGGTTCAACGGGATTGTAAGTCATTGTCATCAATAATTGAACAGAACACTTTTTGATTAGATTGAGCAAGAACGTGAACAAATATCATGCAAAGTTAAAGTTGATTCTATAGGTCCCAGCTTTTTCATTTATTCTTTTTAGGAAAAACTATTAATTTATTTTATAAATTATTTTGTTCAGATATTTATATACTTCATTTGAAAAATAAATTACTTTGCTTTAAGAAAAATAAAAATTTAGGAGAAAAATATATTTTTCATGAAAAAATTTCAAACATTTTTTCTCATTTAAAACATTAAAAAAAAAAAACTCAGAAATTGAACCTTGGATTTTCTTTATCTAAACCCATGAAAAAATATTAGGAGTCTGGTCTACTAAAATAAGAGAGCATTGTTCATTACATCCTTAGAATGATCAATCCTCAGTGTTTCTTCTAAATTCTATAAATTTATAAAATTACCTCCTTTACCTTGTCTGGATAGTAAAATTTGGAAACACTCCATGCAATGATATGCATATGAACTCACTTAGAAAATGATCCATGAATATGTACCGATTTTACTATTTAAACAAAGTGAAAAAAATTGAAAAATTCATAAAGTTTGAAAAAAAAACACTAAGGTGTGTGTAATGAACAATTCCCCAAAATAAATCAACTCATTAGAGGACTCAAATAAAAGGCTAAGTAAAGACATAATATTTGACATTTTATGATTTGTTTTTTTTTTTTATATCTCTCTACATCTCATATACGGTGTGCAAGAGGTGGATCTACAGGACAAGCTGGCTCTTTCCTATCTAAACCCTGTCATTTTGGCTATAGATAATCAGTTTATTTCCCTCACAATCAATATTCAAGACAAAACATTTGCTTTGGATGCTTTTATGTCTCAACCAACTATGTTGTTATAAGGTACCTTAGGAACAAGCTTACTAACTCCATGTCCAACCATGATGTACATTGGTGCTTTTTGGGTGACTTCAACACAAGTTTGGGAGTTTGGGGCTCACGAATATATGGGATCCCATCAACCTGCTAGAATTCCTATGGCTGATTTCTTAACATGGACAGACTCAAATCACCTTCTCCATATCCCAATTACAAGTGCAAGATTTATTTGGAATAATGGTAGAAGGGGCGGAGCTAACACTCAGAAAGGACTAGATGTAACCATAAATGGATTGATGCTTGTTTTAGTATTTCTTGTACAACTCTTGTAAAAAAAACTATGATCATTGTCAGATTTTGATTGACATTGATTGTCATTTTGAAAAGTTCATCTCTCAATTTAGATTCCTTCAGATGCGGGGCTATCATCCTAGTTGTGAAGCTATGATCACCTCCACATGGTCCATAAGAGTTTTGGGTTTCCGCATGTATGTTCTCAACAGAAAACTCCAACTTCTCAAATCAAATTTAAAGTTTTGGGAGAAAAAAGCTTTTGGTAATGTTAAGGATAATGTGGATATGGCTGAGTCCAAGCTCAAGGATATTCCAAAACCAAATCGCCTCTATAGGCCATTCAGACCTACTTGCAAACCAAGAAAGAAATGCACAATGTAACCTGGATCATACCCTTAACTTAGAAGAGATTTTTTTGGAGAGATACGTCTGAAGTTAACTGGCATGCTGACGGAGGCAGAAATACAAAGTTTTTCCACAGATTGGCAAAAACAAAAAATGCAACCATGTTGATACACTCACTCAAAGTAGAGAGTAAGGTGGTCACGAATAAAGAGAAAATAGTGGTAGAGCACTTTTAAAACCTTTTTAATAAATCTTTTATTTTACAGGACTTTAGCTTAGGGGAGGAAGTAATCCTTAACTTAGTCAATGACCAAACCAATGCTCTTCTTATAATGCTCCCCACTGTCGTACTTCGAAAAATATGATCCTCGCGATGGACACGGAAAAAACGTTCGAACAGAGTCGCCACCGAACTTTATTCATTCCAAGGATGGAATAGGAAAATATCGATAAAACCTTTAAAGGGATAAGAACATGGTCGTCGCAACCAAATTCTAGGTTCGGGAGTCGATTACGCAAAGGGAAGGTATTAGCACCCTCTACGTCTGTTGTACTCAACGAGGACCTCTTGATTCGATTCAAGAGTAAAGTTAGTTACGCTTGTTTGTTTTCTTCTAAGGGGGAAAATGAGTGGTTTTTAGGTAGGGTGCTCGCCAAGGATCGGGGCCCTTGTGCCTACGTACTCCCTTGTGCAATGGGAAAGTCAGAGCATCGTAGTTCGTGGGACTACGGGAAAATGGGGGAATTGTGGAATTGTGGGGAATGTAGAATTGTGCTCGCCAAGATCATCGCAATCTTGTGCCTGTGTATCTTACATTCAGAAGAGAATGAAGAATCAGAGCAGTCGTAGTTCGGCCAACTACGGTAAAAGGTTTGAAAATGAACGAGTGTTTAGGTCACATTCTAACTGCTAAACGTTGGCTTGTCTGGTCACTAGGGGAGGCTGAAGCACGATTTCATATGCGCGGAAGAAAGGACTAAACAATGTTCTTGGCATCGGTTTTTGAGTCGAACGAGAGTTTAGGTCGCATTCTAACTGCTAAACGTTGGCTTGTCTGCTCGCTAGGGGAGGCTGAAGCACTAGTTTGTTATGCGCGGAAGAAAGGATTAAACAATGTTCTTTGAGAAGAGCTGTTTGAGTTGTAGGGATCGCGCGAGGGCGAGAAATTTAGTGTTTGAAAAGTTTCAATCGCGCGGGGCGAGAAAAGAGAGTTGGGTTGAATAAGTATCTAGGGTTTCAATCGCACGGGAGCGAGAAAGATGAGGTTGGTTAGATAATTTGATGGAGAATGATGACTATTCGATAAACGAGACGTCGACCTTGCAATCAATTAATCGAGATATTATTGGAATGCTAGATTCCAACGACACCTTTTTCATTCCATAAATTACGAAATATGTGTTTGATGGACGGTTTAGACGCATGTTAGGGTTTGAATTGAGGAAGATTTAGATTCGATCGCACGAGGGTGAGAAGCGGGGTTAGACGGGTTGTATATTTAGGAGGAATGACGACTATTCGATAAGCGAGACGTCGGCCTCGTAACTAATTAGTCGGGATATCGTTGGAATGCTATATCTCAACGACACCTTTTTCATTCCATTAATTATGAAATATGTTTGTGGGACAGTGAAAGTACTTGTCCAAGTAATTAGGGCACGTGTTTTAGGAACGAAAGTTCGAATGATACGCTGCTCGAGGCGTACGCCTCAATAGTTGTCACTCGAGAATTCAAGGAGTGCAAGACTCCAAGAACTCAATTCTTTCACAATTTAATTAAGAAAACAATTTGAGTAGGTTAGCGGTTTCGTTCGCACAAAGGCGAGAGAAAAGAAGCGGATCGGGGCGCACACGCTAAATCCTAAGACGTAGGAGCGAATGCGTCGCATATTGCCCAAAGGGCATACGCTAAACATTCTAGACAAGTGAGAAGAGGCTCCCCACTCATCATTTCCTACGTATCTAATGCTCGGCTCACAACACTCGGCGGTTGATTAAAAAGTTTTAATTAGGGAAAGTTACCGAACAGAGTGGTTCCGTTGACCCTTGAATTTGCGTGCAAGCTTCATTTCTAAGCTTCCAATCTCCTTTTTGATGTTTTGAAATATGGTTCGAAAGGATAAGTGAATCGAATTGGGACCAATGTGATGCTAAACCGTCGTAGCTCGACTCATAAGGGAGGTCAAACTATAGGAGGCCGCGTAATTAATATCCGTGCTATGGACAAGATAGATAAATGATATTGAGGATCATTCTCCAATTGAATCGTGTCACACAGACTAAAAGGTGGGATCTCGTCTTAATCGCAAATAAAATGTCAATTAATCGAAGGTAGCCTATCGCGATCCTAAAGTAAAGAAAATGACCCAAATGGTCATCTTCCATAGATTTGAAATCGGGAAGGTTATCCACTCTGATAAATCTGACGCTTACGGATATAAGACTTCATTAATCCAAGAAAGTCAAAATAAAATCGGAAAGAAGAAGAAATGAGGAGAGAAAGGAAGTGGTCTCGGATCCAATATTATTCATCAATAATTTGATTGGTAATGGATTACGGAAGTCTCGTCATAGACCCAAACAGATGAAAGTGAAATAAAATGCCCAATGATATAAGAAAAAGTCCAGAATCTAACTTCCAAGAAAATATTAAAGAGCTCTAAAGAAACTAAAACTTAACTATTTAGAAATATAGAAAAAACTAATTAATATAATTACATAATTCTAAAGAAATTAAATATATATATATATATATATATATATATATATATATATATATATATATATATATATATATATATATATATATATATATATATATATATATATATATATATATATATATATATATATATATATATATATATATATATATATATATATATATATATATATATATATATATATATATATATATATATATATATATATATATATATATATATATATATATATATATATATATATATATATATATATATATATATATATATATATATATATATATATATATATATATATATATATATATATATATATATATATATATATATATATATATAAATTAAAACTGTTAGAAAAAAATTAAAGACAATTTTTTTTTTTTTACTAAAATATTTATATTTATTTAAAAGAGAAGAGAGGGGGTATGATTTGAAGGGTGAAACGGGCTTTAAGCCCAATACAAAATCAAACAGAAACATTTAAAAAGAATAAAAACTAAAGCAAAATGGCCATCCTTAATCATCAGTTTCAAATCAACAGGGTCATTCAGAAGAAAACAACATCAACATCGTATCTACAAGGATCTGCAGAAAAAAAAATCTCAAACTTCTTCGCTCATCTCCCTCGTTTCTTCCGGGATTTGCTTCACATCTAAACTCAACCAAGTTTGTTTGTTTGATGTGGCTTGGATGGTTCATTTGGAGGTTTGTTGAGAATGAGTTTCCGCAAAACAGAGTGGGTTTACTGTTCGTTTCTGAAATGGGTTAAGGAGAGGTTTGGATGGTTGGGAAGGAGAAGACGAGATTGAAGGAGGTGGGTGAGGCGCGGTTGGAAATAGAGAGAGGAAGATGGCGATAATGTTGAATTTCGGTTAAGATGAAGAATGGTGGAGAGGATTTTCGGTTGTGGAGGAAATGGAATTGATGAAAAATATTTCAGCGTCACAAAATCGCAATTTCTTTGATTAGTGTCGACTTGTTGTTTTCTCCTTTTCAGGAAGTTGAAGAGATGAAACAGGGTGGTGTTCGTAGGTAGGTTTCAATGGTGTTGCGGATGAAGATGGTTTGATTTTCGGTGGTGGTATTTAGAGAAGATAAAGAGGAGATATGAATCTTATGGAGGAGGAAAATATTATGATTATCACGGTGAAGAAAAGGTTAAATTGAGGGTGGCGTCGTGGTGTTTGAAAAAGGTGGAGGTAATGGAGAGAGTTTTGAGGAGAATGAGCTTTAGCTGGCGATGGGTTTCACGATGAGGGACTTGAAATGAAGGGAGAAGGTTATGTATTGGTTGAAGAGGAAGGAGGATGGGAGATGAGCCGCTAGGATTTTCGGCTGCTTCCAGGAAGAAGAAAATGAACAGTGGGTTATATACCCACAGTTTGACACGTGGCACTGGCAATTAGTTTAATGATTTTTGCTGATTTTGATTAATAGACTAATTAGTGATGCTGTACAAAATCTGATAATAATAATAAAACAAAATTCTAATCCTAAAAATATTCTAATTAATCTAAATGATAATAATTCTAATTGATAACTAATCCAACCTAGACTAATTAACGAATCTAATTAAATCTAATAATCTTAACTCTAATAAACTTCTAATCTATTCTAAACTATTTCTAAAAAAAACCAATTAAAGTTCTATTTAAAAAAACAAATATTTTCTAATAAATCTATTCTAACAAACAATATAATTCTAATATCTATTTTTTTTGAAAAAACTAATTTATATTTTCTAAACAAATTCCAAATAAAACTATTTTCTAAAAAAAGAAAAAAAAACTCTATTGAAAAACTAAATAAAATCTATTTCTATTAAAAAATCTAATTAAAAAATCTAACTAAGTTCTAACTCTATTTTAATTAAATCTAATTCTATTCTAAATTTATTAATTAATTCTAAAAATTCTAATTCTATTTCTAATAAAAACTAATTAATCAATTAATAATAAAATGTTAAAACATAAATAATAATAAATAAAAAGATTCCATGTGGCGCAAATTCATTGGGCTAAAAAGGTGAAAAAAAATTATTTTTGCTGAAAAATACACTACGTTGTACAAGCGAGGTGTTGCACCCTAAAATTTGCTCAACCTATTTCACCTGGGTTATGTTTCAATTGCATTGTCATTTGCATAATAAGTCATGTACATAGTCTAATCATTTGCATAGCATAGCATCACAAGTCATCTAACAGGGGATCAAGTGCCATTCTTATCATAAAGAGGCCCATCAAGGGGTTTTATTCAAGCTCAAGACCATCCAAGTAATCAAGAAATGAGTTGAAGCTTTGAGAAGTTTAAAG